AATAAAAGTAAGGCTAACCTAGAAGACCCATTATGAAAAAAGTTTGGGAAATGTTCCTGTAAGTTGAACTGATGAAAAACTAGACCAAATACTGGCGAATCTATGACAGTACTATTTTAAAACTAAGTTACTGAATACATTGTTATAAATTTGACTTCTGTATTTCCAACTTGGGAAAAAAAGTTATTTCCTCGAAAGAGGAAAATAATATTTGGGTTTTTAAATATCACCTCTACAACCATTCTATCATTCCTCTATTCTGCCTTCTATGTTAAGACATACAAAAGAAAGTAATTTTTTTAAAAAACTAATTTAAAACTGAGGCCATTGATTAAATGAATATAACAATTTAAAATTCATATACCAGTCTTTTAAAAGTATAATTTATTTCATATCCGAAAACTCATTTGAATCTCGAAAGCATAAACCCAGGATACAATTCATCATGGTTCAATTTAGTGACTCGTACAGGAGAAAAAATTAGAAAATATAAGGAGAATAAAACCCACAGTGCTAGAAAACAATCCCAATTCTTGAGTGCCAAGATGAGGAAATTCACCTGTTACAAGCCTGACAAAAATCCATTATGTCCTTTTATCAGCAGATTACCAAAAAAGAGAAAATGCCAGATTTCCACTATTGGGCAAAATAAGAAAATTTACCTTCCGAAATTTGCTAGCAGCTCAAGCCCTTACCCATTTCCAAATTATTTTACTTTATAACTTTTTTCCACAAGACAGATTTTTCAGGGAAAATAAACTTTTCCTGAGCAAACTGGAAGACATAAAATGTCTCCTACTTATCACCTAGAAAGGCAAACCAAGTCCTACTCCATGCCCCAAGCATCTAGCTTTCAGCCTCTTTATTATCATTGTCAATGAATGGGCCCCAGTCAAATGAAAGCTGCCATTTTAGGGTAAAGACTGGAGGGCTTCTGTTGTGCAACAGCAAGACAAAAACACTGCGCGACAGATGTACACTGGGGGCTGGGAGAAGGATTCAACTTCGTAAAATCACTGCTCAAGTTATTTCTGAAATAGGAATTACCTAGTACTTAGACATTACTGCAATCTAAACGTAATTATAACTGGGATAAATCAGGTACCAATGCTGCTAAGGTCACAGTCACTAAGATATTTTTTGACATCGTTAGACAAGATCAGTGAAGAAATGAAGACACGTATTTTGTTTCCTCCTTGCTACGTATACTGAGTACTCCCTCCCTTACCGAAAGAGAATTGGGGTGAAATAACACTCAACCCTTTAGAAAGGTATCGCCCACTGCAAAGACGGCTTAAATTAAAATTTTTAGAAAATAAAAAATTAGGGCCTCACGAAATCCTTTAAAAATAAATTAAGACATGTAATGTATTCCAGAAATTAAGCCCCCAAAAGAGACACTTTTTAAGATAACTTATTTAAATCGATTGCTAGATAATATACAATGGGAAACTAAAAAGTATACTTAGCAAGTGGAGCGCTGGATAGTGTATCTAATTCTAGCAATTCAAAAGGAAACTCTCTCCATGTGGGTTGCTACTTTTCTTTTGTCCATTGTCTGTTCAGAAGAGGGGGAAAAAAACTAGTTTAAACCAAGGCGTGAACAGTCTCTAAAAGTGACCTCCAGGAAAAGAGTCCGACCCATAGCAGGAGCACTCTCCGCGCCGCTCGCTCCACGGGGGCGCTCACAAAGCGGGCGGCCGGCCGGGAGTTTGGGGTGCGCTCCCACGGCTCCGGGCTCCTCGAGGCAGAGCCATCCGGAGAAAGGCGGCTCGGTAATGATGGCTGCTCGGGGCCGGCGGCTCCTTCCCCAGAGCCTCCCGACCAGCGCCCCCACCCCCGCCCGGGATCCGCCGCCACCCCCCCCTCCCCCGCGACCTCGCCAGCCCCGCGCCGCCGCGCCCGCCCAGCACCGCAGCCCAGCCGGTGCCCGCGCCCCCGCCCGAGCCCCGCGCCCCCAGCGAGCCCAATCCCCGGTGCGAACCAAACAAACAACGCGTTCCCCACCGCCCTCCTTTCCTCTCCCCGCTGACCGCTTGGCCTCCAGCCACCTCGGCCGTTCACGCTCCAAGCCGCGGCTCTCCGCGAGGGCAGAGCGCACCCGGGTCACCTCGGGGGCCACCTGGTGACCCCCCCCCCCACCGGCGCTGACCCCCGGCGGGCTGGGGGGCGGGGGAGCCGAGTTGCGTTGGGAGGTTAAAGTCGCTATTATGCAGCTGCCGCCGCCGGCGGCCCGGCCAGCTCGGCAAGGTGGGGTCCCCTCCTTGCCGCGCCTCCCGGCGCTCGCCCCGGCCCCGCTCCCTTTCTTCTCCTCCTCGCGCACTTAGGAGCCGCCGGGGAGCCCCAAGAACCCCCAACTCCGGGCTCGCAACTCCGCGCCCGCGACCGGCACTGGCTGGGCTCGGGACGCCTCCCGCGCCGCGTGTTCGCGCTGCCCCCGCCCCACGCGGCGCCCCGCGCACTTTCCCCGCCGCCGACCCACCTCGCTCGGTGGCGGTCCCCGCGCGGGCTGGCGCCGCCGCGCCGGGAGGGACGCACTTTGTTCGCGCCGGTGCGGCCGCCGCTCCCGGCAAGCGCGGCGTGGTCGGTCCGGAGCGGGGGGCGGGGGCGGGAGGCGGGGGTCGCCGCCGTCCCCGAGCCGCCGCCGCCGCTGCTCAGCCGCCCCGCGCCCGCGCGCCCATCGCCCGCTCGCACTTGAGTTGGAGCCCAACTTTTCCTCCTTCCTTTTTCTCTCGAATGGAGCCGGCAACTCGTGCTCGGCGCCGGCGGGAGGAAACGCGCTCGCGCTCCCCCGCGCGCAGACACGCTCCCTCCTGTCCCCCGTACCCCCCCCACGCCGGCAGCACAACAAAAAGCCATTTACATGCGAGGAAGTGACCCTCGGCCACACCGCGCGCCCCCGCCGCCGCCGGCCCCGCGGACGCAGGCAAAAGTTGGGGCGCCGGGCGGCGCTCGGGGCGCGGGTTCGGGCCCCGCGGGCGGCGACGCCGGCGACACCGCGCGGGCGGCGCTGCGCTCCTGCGCTGGCCCCGGCCCCCTCCCGCCCTCGCCCCTCGCCCCTCGCCCCGCACACGCCCAACTCCTCGATCCCAACTCCTCGCGCGGCCCCGGCCCCGGCCCGGAGCGATTTCCTGCCGCCGCCGCCGCCGCCCCTCCCGGGGGCGCAGGGTGAACTCTCGCGCTTACCGGGTCGGTCGGGCTCCTCCGCTGCCTAGTGCCGAGGGGAAAACAAAACGCAGAGCGGGCTCCGGAGTTGGCTCGGCAGCTGCGGCCAGGGGGCTGAATCCACGGGCACGGAGTTGGCCGGGGGCGAACGGGGCTCTGGTGAGTTTCAGGGTCTCCGGGTCCCCGGGCCGCCTCCTCCGCGGCGCTCCTTTGTGTAATTTCACTCGATTCAAGTTTAATCCGATAGTTCCCGAGCACGAGCGCGTCCGCACCACCGCGGCACAACCCCCGCGCCGCCGCCGCCGCCGCCGCTGCTGCCGCCGCCGCCGCCGCCGCGGCCCCAGCACGCCAGCGCCTGCGCGCGTCCGGCACGCCGCGTCCGGCACGCCGCGCGCACCCGAGACCCAGCGGGGCCGCGCGCGCCCGCCGCCGGCTCCCTCCGGGCCGCGCCGCGCCCGCGCCCGCGCGCCGCCACCTGACGTCAGGCGCGCCTGGCATAATTTATGCAAGAATTCGGCCGGGGTGGCGGAGGCCGAGGGAGAGGCCGAGAGAAAGGGGGCGGCGCGGAGCTGCAGGGCCGCGGGCCGCAAGGGCGGGCCGGGCGCCACTTCCCGTCCCCGGGCGGGCGCCGGCGCTGCAGGCGGGTCCGCCGGCCGGTGCGCCGCTGCCCGGCAGCCTTCCTTGCCCGGCTGCTCGGAGCGCTCGGCCGCGGAGCCCAGGCGCGGGCAGGAGGGGCTGCTGCCACGTCTCTCGCGCAGCACCTTCCTGGAGCCGGGTGCGCCGCCCCGGGGCAGGAAGCGGGGCTCCTCGCCGGCTGCGACCCTCCTGGCCGCGGCGAAGGGTTTCCAACGCTGCGCGGCCGGCGGCGGCCGGAGGTATCTGGCCGTCTCTGCAGTAATTATCCTTCAACTTGAAATTATTTTCCCACATGAAATTATTCGGAATGGACACGTTCCATTCCAGATGGGTTCGTGCCTGCTTCTCCACATCGCTTTTCCCATCTCTTCGTGGATAGGACACTGGATCCACTACTTAATCAAAAAGTTTAACTAGATGGCATTGATTTTGTCAAATTTGTTACCATACCAAAAAAGAGGGAAAGCAGAGAGCGCAATGATTATGAAACAAAGAAATAGGATGCATGCTCATTATTAAACGTGTCGGGACTAGAATGTTTTACTCATTCTTTGGCCAAAATGGCACTTGTATATGATTGCATAGTCTTAAAAATCCGAGCCTCTTATTCCATTTCTCTTCCCGGTACAAAATGAATATTAAACCTGAAGAAAAAAAACATTTTTTATTAATTTTTATTTTAGGAAACAGATTTACAAACATGGATTAAGCCTCTTCTATCTGCAAAATACGGAGCTATGAGTTTAAACCATCAATTGTAAACTTTAAGATAATTTTATTAGGTTAAAGATTGCACTTAAATCAAGAAAGGAACTCATATCAACCAAAGATTGTCCTATGGCAGGTACAGACTGAATGGTTATTACTGGACTCCAAAATAAACTGAGAAAATAGCAAAACTGTGTAAAATGTACTAATCTCACTCACTGTTTGATGGTTACACTAACTGTAGTGCTAAGCCTGTAATCACAATATTGTCATTTGGACAAAAGATTAATCAAAACTATCTCATTATGTAACTACTACAACTATTCAGTAAGTTTGATTATCCTAGACTTAATCACTAAGACATTCATTTTCTGATTTTAGTAATAATTTTATAAATGTCACATTGTATTGTAGTTTGTTAAATGCACTGCTTTTAGCTTGCTTTCATCATATACTTGAGTTTTGTTCTAAAAGAAATGTTTTAATGTTTAAGGAGCTTATAGATAATCAAAAAGAAGATAGAAGACAGTACAGAAAGAATTCTGACATTTAAAAAGTTGAAAACACTAAAATCAACTTCCATCTGTTTTAAACCCGGTATCACAAACGAAGAATCACGATTCTGAGGTTAGACTACTGTTTCCATTAAGTTTATATTTCCTAATGAAAGCATATGAAAGGTGCTTTAGGGGTGTATGGGGCGGGGGGGGGGTGTAAAAACAGGACACCATGTCTAGAAAAAAATCACTAGTACTTGACTATATTAGAATACATTTTTAAAATAATGTGCCATAAAAAATTATGTCTTATCTTTTACAGTGTGCCGCAGCTCCATGGCAGATGTGCATTTATTTCAAGGCAATTCACAGGAGAAAAAAACGTGACATCTACATATAGTGAAATTACAATATTACAAATAACTTGTTATCAACAAATAGTGCCTATGAGGAGATTCCCTGTGCTCTTGTACATTTAACTCGAAAGCTAGGAAACTTCCTTTTAAAATATACCAGTGCCAATGTAAAAACAGTCCTACACTACAGAATGTAAGTCCTCTGACTTATAGTCTCCTTATCCTGATCACTGCCCTGAGCCATCATGAAGTCTCTAAGCTTTTAGATGTTGTGGTGGTGTGCAACGTAAGGGGCCTTAAAAAGTAGAAGCCCTCAGGGGCAAACTCCTAGGCAGATCTGGCCTACCTAAATCATAGTTCTCACCACACCACCATCACCTCCGCCACCTTTCCCCCCACGTTCCCCTTTAGGCTGAGATGTTTTCTCCATTTGCTTCACTATTGAAGTTTTCCCAATGATAATTTGAACCCCCCCCCCCCCCCCCCCCCCCCCCCCCCGCATTCCCCTTTAGGCTGAGATGTTTTTTCTCCATTTGCTTCACTATTGAAGTTTTCCCAATGAGAGTAATTTGAATTCACAAGCTTTCCCTTTAAGTATGCAAATACCTTAGGGTGAGATAAGGGGCTACTGGTCTTTCACAGATGATTGTAAATTGGTTCAATGGGTTGCTTTCCTCCCAACACCTAGCCAGGCTAACAAATTTAGAGACTTAGCCATTCATTCAACTTCGAGTGCCTAAGAGGTTCCAGGACTGGTTCTAGGTACTGGAGATATAGTAGTGAACAAAACAGACAATGTGTCCTGCCCTCGTAGAGTTTGCAATCTAGTGGATTGGTAGTTTTGATTTGGTGTTAAGAGAATGGTAATTTTGGAGTCTGAGCCCTGGAGGAATAGGACAGGCCTGAGTTCCTTGTAGCCAGAGGGCAGTGGAAAGGTACCAAGGACCTGGGAAGGAGGGCATTGAAGAATGGAGTGGGCCAAGCAGAAAGCAATTGAGAAAAATTCCAAAGAAAACATGACCTACTACAAAAAGGTTGTCTAGGCCCTAGGACATGAATAGAAATAGTCTATTTGAAGAGCTCAGACTTAATACTGAATTCCACAGACAAATAAATATCTCTGGAAAAATAGCCCAGAATATATCAACCTATAATACTTGGGGTGGGGGAGGTAATGTGCGCATCTAAAATAACTGAAAAAACACTCCAACTTCTCAAACACTTAAAAGTCAAGTCCTATCTATATTAAATGTTTCCAACTTTAAAATATTATGTAAATTACACTAATTCCAGTGTTGAGGGCATCCTTCAATACATTTTTGGAACTCATCTTTTGAAATTGTGTTCAGAACCAATTTGCAAGTACTGGAAAATAACTCTCTTTACCACCATATATTTTTCCCGCTCTAAAAACTATTATTCTTCTTCGTTCGCCAAATTTACATCCAAATGACTTTGGCTAGCTCCAAACAATATATTTTGCCTCTAAATGATGAAGGTTTACTGCCATTGAAGATACATTAAAAATTAAAATATAGATATAGGGAGGAGTATAAATGCTGAAGAAAGCAGCAAAAAGAAAAGTCTAAAAAAATTTTTCTGCTTCACTGGGATAATGACATAATCCTCCTCTGTAATTTTTCTTTTTTCTTTTTTTTTTTTTTTTGAGATGGAGTCTCGCTCTGTCGCCCAGGCTGGAGTGCAGTGGCGCAATCTCGGCTCACTGCAAGCTCCGTCTCCCGGGTTCACGTGATTCTCCTGCCTCAGCCTCCCAAGTAGCTGGGACCACAGGAGCCTGCCACCACACCAGGATAATTTTTTTTCCTTTTTTTTTTTTTTTTTTTTTTTGTATTCTTGTATTTTTAGAAGAGACGGGGTTTCACCATGTTAGCCAGAATGGTCTCCATCTCCTGACGTCATGATCCACCCATCTCGGCCTCCCAAAGTGCTGGGATTACAGGCGTGAGCCACCACGCCCGACCTGTAATTTTTTCATGAAGAAGCTGGCCAGGCGCGGTGGCTCATGCCTGTAATCCCAGCACTTCGGGAGCTGAACTGGGTGGATCACTTGAGGTCAGGAGTTTGAGACCAGCCTAGCCCACATGGTGAAAACCCATCTCACTAAAAACACAAAGAAGTTAGCTGGGTGTGGTGGCAGTTGCCTGTAATGCCAGCTACTCTGGAGGCTGAGGCAGGAGAATCACTTGAACTGGAAGGTGGAGGTTGCAGTGAGCCAAGATCACACCATTGCACTCCAGCCAGGGCAACAAGAGCGAAACTCTGTCTCAAAAAGTAGTAATAATAAATAAAAATAAGAAAGAAGCTAGTTAGATATGTAAGTGCTGCTGTATTTGTTAGAAAATTGGTCACTTACCTTTTCATTAAAAAGTTCTATTATGAGGCCAGACACAGTGGCTCACACCTGTAATCCCAGCACTCTGGGAGGCCAAGGCGGAAGGGTCGCTTGAGCTCAGGAGTTTGAGACCAGCCTGGGCAACATAGTGAGACCTCGCCTCTATAAAAAAATAAAAATTAGCTAAGTGTGGTGGCCCATTCCGGGTGTAGTCCCAGCTACCTGGGAGGTTGAGGCAGGAGGATCACCTGAACCCAGGAGGTTGAGTCTGCAGTGAGCCAAGATCACACCACCACACTCCAGCCTGGGTGACAGAGCAATACCCCATCTTAAAAAAACAAAAAATTCTATAATTTCATATAGTCTAAAATTATAGTTGCCTATGTGATATTGCCTTTTCCTTATTAGTTGTACTGCTTTAAAGTTTCTGTTTATTTCCTCTTGTGCTAATTGAAGTGTACCTGGCTTTGGTTCCTCTTAAAAAAACAAACAAACAAACAAACAAAAACATTTCTTTGTTAGATTTCTGCTCCCAGGTTTTCAACATAGAGAGTATATGAGTATGAATTGATTCCATTATTTTTCAAAATATTTTCTTATACTATACTTGTAGTATCTTCCTGGACTATTTTATTTATTGGGTATATATGTTGTAAAACTTTTTAGTAATTGGCCCATAGTATAGTATCTTTTAATTAAGCAGATAGTATATTGGTTGAAAAACTATTAGCTACAATTCCCATTTTATCTCTATTAGCCCAGAACACTGCTAGGAGCTTTTGCTGGCAATGGTCAAGGTTGGTAAGGTCAACATATCAGGTGAAAAGAAAACCACTATGGCTAGAACTTGGCCGTTGTTGGCTCCTAAACATAACATGTTCAGCTGAGTTTGAGCCATTCTTTCAGCAAACATTTGTTGAATGCTTACAGTGTGCCAGACTCTAAAATAGCATTGGAGACATGGTAAGGTCCTGTCCTCAAGGAGCTCATGCTGTGTGGCAGCATAAAGTAATAAGTGAGGCGGGGCGTGGTGGTGGCATGTGCCTGTAGTCCCAGCTACTGGAAAGCTGAGGTGGGAGGACCTGCATTCCTGAGTGCAGGAGTTTGAGGCCAGCCTGTGGGTCTCTAAAATATATATATACACTCATTTTTAGAAGATTCCAGATTCATCTCCTGCATCAGAAAAAAAAAAACAGGAAGTGATGTTTGCTAACTGGGACATCAGGGACAGGTTCCTAGAAGATGAGAGCCTTGCATTGTGTCTTCAGTAAGCACAATAACTCATCAGAATAGGGAGGTTCATCAGAACAAGCAGGGGAAGAGGGATTCCCAAGAAGACAACAGTGGTTTCATAGCCCAATGAGTCCAGGCCACTGCAAGTGGATCTATTGGGAGTGGAACATGGAGGTTGAGCCAATCTTCCTCCACAATGTTCTCTGATCCTCTCAGGATGGGTTGGCTGTTCTTCCTTTGTTCTCCCAAGGATGCCCATCTCCATCGATACACACTTATGTTGAATTATAGTTAATTCTTATTCTATCTTACCATTGGTCTGTAAGCTTCTGGGGAACAATGACTGTGCCCTGGATTTTAGTACCCCCAGGTCCCATAGAGCCTTCCATGTAGAAGGAACTTAGTAAATGCTTACACATTTGTTTAAGTGGCAGGGGTAAGGAGGTAGTAGATTGGACTAGATAAGTAGAAAGGTCCAAGGAGAGCTCTAGACTTCTCCCCAAAGGTTATGGACAGCCATTGGAGAGTCTTCATGTGAGAGAGTAACAGGTCAGATCTGTACTTCGAAATACCTCTCTGGTAGGGTGAAGAATGTGGAAAACTAGACTGGAAGCAGGGAGAAAAGTGAGGAAGACCTTCTAAGACAAGAAAAGGGAAGATATAAAAGCTACTGCCTATTTCTTTGCACTGTCTAGACTCAAGATTGTTACTAACTGCATGTCGTGTGGGCTGACTTCTGATGAGAGAAAAGAAAACAGAAGCAAAGGCCTGCTCTGCCCTTTGTAGAGGATGGCAGTGCTCTGTCTAGAGGGAGCAGTGATAGGGAGCTCTAGGGGCAACAGTTCTAAAGTGGCACTGCCTCCAACCTGGACTGTGCCCCTTTGGCTCTTCTCCCCTCAGTTGCCAGTTCCAGTATTCTATAACTTGCTGTTACCCACCTTAATCTAAGTAATATTGGGCCACTCATTGTGTCCATTTCTAGTCTAATAAGTGGACATTTCTACTGCTAACTTAACTAATTATGAAATATTTTTACAAAGCATTTAAACTGAAAAAGTATAGTGTATGATTCACCAATGGTTATTGGCACTTACTGTGCATTGTACACTGTGCTGGGTGCTGTAAACACAATAATTAATCAAACCCCACCCTGGAGGGGGCTCTGTGCATCTATTGGGGGGACAGGAATTTAAGCATGTCTTTACAACTAAAATGTGTGCAATTGTGGTATTATTGGGTACAGTGATAGCTCAGAAGATGGGATGACTAAGTCTGAGCAGGAGAGGTTTCAACAGAGGAGATGACATTTAAACTGAGCCGAGCCTGGCTGGACTCTGCAGATGGCAGAGCGTGGGGAGGCCCACCAGGCAGGAAAGCCAGCAGAGATATGCATGGGACAGATGGGACAGCACCAGGCTAGTGTCAGCACTGCAAGTAATTTGGCTCAGTTAGAGCACAGCACACACAGGGGGAAAAAGTGAAGATTGAAGGGACAAGTTAGAAAGGGTTTGTAGCATATGAAGAAATGTTTACCTTATCCTCTAGGTCATGAGGAGGCACAAAAAGATAGTGAGCAGGAAAACGATGGGAACAGA